AGTTTGTTTCTGGCTGGTCCTGGGTGCTGCCACCCTCCCACCCACCCACCCCCTTCCTCCCAGTTCAGATTTGTTTAAGAGAAACTCTGTCTTTAAATTCACCCCTAAAGACATTAAAATTGCTAGGAGTTTGCTTCACAAAATTTATTTCAGTGCTGACAATGGTATTGCAGTAAAGTCATTCAGTCCTTTAAGTTTGGTACAACTAGTATTAATTTTAGATTTGACCATTGCTTTTAAACCTACTGCTAAACATTTGGAGTCTCATTATTAATTAGATTATTAGATAGATAATACCAGTTTTAGCTAACATGGGGCAGTTGCAGTAAGAACACAAAACCAAAACCAGTGGAAGTTTTAATTAGGAAAAAAGAAGGAAGATAAATGATACAGTGTATTATAAAGAACAGGACTCGCTGACTATTTGCACACCCAAAAGCAAAGCAAAATTGCTTAGGTGGGAATTGAGGGAAGGAGAAGAGGAGTTACTTTCCATGGCTCACGTAAATAAAAAGTATCCAGAAGACAATATTATCAAATTTTGGAAGAATTAGTAAGCACAACAACTGTTTTGTCAAAGGATGGGGTTTTTGGTTTTTTTTTCTTCCCCCAAAGAAAGTTCAGAGCACATTTCTTAAAGGTCGGTGCAATGGAAGGGCTTTCTGACCTCACTGACAGCGGTGATACTACACAGCATTTTGAAGACTAAACTTGCTGAAATCAGACAAGGTAGCCATAGTGCTTTGCTTTCTATAGGCATCACATATTATCCCCAATATAATGTCAATTTTTGTTTTCACCACATTCAGGTGAAGAACTGAAGAAAGCTCTACCGACTGATTGTTTAATGTGATACTAATTTAGAACGTAAACAGAAATGATATGTTTTATGGGCCAGGTAAGTGCTATATGCAAGAAGATGCATCACAATGATTTTGGAACAGGTATTTGACTTTATTATACAAAACCACACCAAGGTGATTAGGGAAACATCTAGAAAATATCTACCTCCTGTGACAAATGTTTACAACTGAGGAAAATCCAAATCCTTCCCCAGAGATATTAGTCTCCCAACACGTGATTTATGTGAGTCATCTTTTACAACATGATTTTGACTGGTAGTCTAACCTTTTCAGCAAAGACAGGGTTTCCAGACAGGTGGCTCAAGTGTACGAACTCCAGATGCAAAGTCCCAAATTCTGCCAAAATGCTGCTGCCGCCAGAGGCCCATGGCCAATTTCGACCGATTCCACTAAGATGGGGGGGGAGAGAAATACAGAAAATAACCATGAGCACCTATAAGGCAATGCTAATAAAATATAACAGGTAGTAGATATTCTGTTATCAAGAGAAGATAATTCATTTCAAATGTACTTCATATCTGCGTAAGAAACCATGCTTCGGCAGCCTTCCATGACTTCACCACAGGACCTTGAATTACTTCGGTCCAGTTCTGCTTAGGCTTGTAAAATCGCTTCTTGCAACAAGCCAGTCTTTTAGCTCATGAATAGCTCCATTACACCTATCACTGTACCAGTGTTTCACTGTATGATATCACATTTAAAGACATTACAAAACCCACTGAGTATGAGAAAACATTCTCATACTTCACCTGTTTTCCCTGTATTTAACACAACACCCTCCAATTCTAGCACTTCCTTCTACAGTGCAATTGCTTATTAACTTAAAATACTGCATATATACAGCATAGGCTTTAAGTTAGAACTACTGCATGGAGTATATCCTTCTTAATACCTGAGAATTTAATGGAGTAGGATATGTAGGCATTGTCTGTTCGGGCAGTCTTACCAGGATGAGTAACTTCAGTTTTAATTAAGACCTAAAGATACTTCACAGTAAAATTAATCTCAGGTTTTGTGCTGAGAGTAGCGCAAAGCCCATTTATTGCTAAATCCCCACCAGAAACTAATGCTGGTTGAGATTCAGGACGAAAAGTCTGCCAAACTTTCATTACAAAAAGGTGGATTTTTTTCCCTTGAAATTTCCAGCAGCAATATTCAGAAAAACCCTGGAAATTAAAGAAAAGCTAGCCAACTTTCCAGAGCATCTAGGTGAATAATGACATATTAGACCAGCATATTATTAGCATGAATGTTAGATATAAATACACTTATTAGGTACTGGAATGTCTTCCTTATTTTCAAGCTGTAAACAGCATTAAACACACACACACATATATAAATAAAAATTGAATTTTACTTTTACACATAAGCAGCCACTACAGTCATCAGTTAGCGCCTGCACAACTGTGAGAATCGAGAATTGTTCCTGAGTTAAAATGTGAGTCATATTATGAAAAAACAAAACAAAGCAAAAAACCAAGAAATCCCATCTTAGTTCATCATGATGGAAGTCCTCAGTTGCATTAAAATTTCTTCTTCAAAAGGTCAAGTATCTATAACTGAAGTTTAACCAATATAATGAAATTAAGATTCCATTAAATTAATTTCCCCACTGTTCATATTAACACATTATTTTGAGATTTCTGCCACACACACAAAATAAAAACAAATCATTAAACTTTAAAAGCAGAGTAAAGGCTACAAATGAAGAGCACATTTGTGTCCTACTTAAATGTCACGGCTTTAAACGGTGCAACACCTTTGGCTGCCTGGCCTTGAGCTGAAGGCACTGCTGGAACTCACTCAAGTGCCACCAAAAATAAACCCAGAATATTACCAACTGATAGGCGGACTTATATTGTCCCATTTCTGAAGTACCATAGCATCTGTCAAATACTCCCCATAGGTATGCTATAGATTTTCCCAGACCATAATGAGTATGACACTCACCCTTTCTATTAGCTGCAGTCCTTTATCTTGCTTTCTTTTTGTAATTTACTTTGTACACAAATTTTTCAGTTTTCCTATGCTGAGACTCACTACAACCTGTACTAAGTGTCAGTCATGTACTGACATCAGAGTCAGAAACAAACTCCTCCTATACACTTCAGGAAGGAAGAAGCCACACTACTTAAACTTGTCTGAAGTTCCAGACCAGAACTAAAATAATTTCAGTTTACAGGGTGCTATTTTAATGTATCTCAAACCATCATGTCTAAAATCATATTGTTTATACGACTTAAAACCCATAAAAAATTCTGTAAAATATTAATAGAACTTCAGAACTTATTTCTATATTATTATAACTAGTGTTATGTAATTAAGTGAAATTTGAAGTGAGGATCTGGATCAGAAAAGCATATTAAAGCAGGACCGTCGCTGGTTTATGATGTTTCCTGTTTATTTTATAAACTTTGTTACTGAACACCGAGTGCCACAGATCTGAAATACAGTATTTGTAATTCTGCTGTCATTCATTCTCAGGAAATATGAGCCTGATTGACCTGGGCTGCTGGTAACTCAACTCAGTATTTTTCCAGTAGACCACTGCTGGTCCTTCTGTACATAGTATGAGAAAGTATGAGATCATTATCTCTTCTAAAACATACAGAACGTACAAGGAGAGGGAACCACAGAGGAAATATAAATATTTAAAGTTTTTTTTTTTAAATTACTGAAATTCAGAGGCATAACAATATTTACAACATTTTTTAAAAATTACATTATGTCCCCAATATATATATATAAAGCAGCAGCTAATTTTCATCTGAAAGGAACAGCAAATCCTCAGGGAAACTGCCAAATACTTCAAAGGGTCAAAACACTTATCAAATCAGAATTCTTGCCATCAGTGAGCAGAACTGCTTCAGTCTCTGCAGACAGTTTGTTTATTATCCCACAACCATCCTGGAGGGTGCCACGACAACTCCACAAGCTGGAGGCAGAGCAAGACTTTCAGAATTTCAATATTTAATGCAAAATGCAAAAACACAACCTAATAGTCAGTATCCTCCTGCAGACTTAGCCAGTAAAAAAGGTGAAAGACCAGAATAAAAGAGATCCGACAGCAACAATGTGAAGTGTCCAAGAGCCGCTGTTGCGAAAGGTTTTAGGATTAAATGTGAAAGTAACTCCCTATAGCCCCTTTGGATCTTTTTTGCAAAAATGCTGATCTTTTTTGCAAAAAAGCTACTCCAACTATGATGGTGGGTGAAAATGCAAAACGCTACGACAGAGAAATGAGAACGCGCACTACAAAGGGTCCGTTTAAATTCACCAGTGCCATGAGACTGAAGTTGGAGCACACACGTTGTGCCTGGTACTTCCAGGAGTGCTGAGGAGACAAGGGGATCTGGCCAGATAATACAACAGGAATTAGTTGGGCTTAATCCCGTTTTAACAGGAACCCTCACGAGCAGAGCATTGCCCAGCCCAACCCGCAGCCCCTGACTCACTCGCCTCGCTCCACACCACCAGCCACCCCTCCGGCACCCACGAAGGAGAGGGACCTTCTCAAAACACAAACTTTCCTGCAGCTTTCTTCTCCTTCTTCCCCCTCCTAGTCCCCCAGGACGCACTTCATGCTTCTCCTTGAGTCTCAACCCCCAAGCATACATGTCTTAGAAATAGAAATAAAGTAAAATTACTAGCTTTTTTGTGAAAGAAAACATCATCCACTGCTTCCCCCCCCTAAGGAAGCCTGTGGTCCTCAGACAATTTTGAAAGCATAATATGATCGCTTTTCCATGTTTTAGCCTTAAGATTACGACCACATCCGATTCAGCTGCACAGCTCATACCCCAGTGTATTTGGTTTGCGCGGCAAGGTTTCGGTAGCTGGGCGGGGGGGAGGGGGGGGAAG